TGTCTTTCATTTTGCCTTCTCTTGCTTTATTTTCATCCTAATGCTTGTTAATATATTCTTCTTTAACTATTACACTTTTTTGCTAGTACCTTAAAATATTAACTCCTCCCACCTTTCTTGTTATTTTTTTGTAATTAATTAATTTTTTTGATGTAGTGTTCCATGATTCATTGTTTGCATATAACACCCAGTGCTCCATTCAGTGCGTGCCCTTTTTAATATCCATCACCAGGATAACCCATCCCCCCATTCCCCTCCCCTATAGAACCCTCAATTTGTTTCTCAGAGTCCACAGTCTCTCATGGTTCACCTCCCCCTCCGATTTCCCCCCCATCATTTTTCCCTTCCTACTATCTTCTTTTTTTTTTTAACATATAATGTATTATTTGTTTCAGAGGTACAGGTCTGTGATTCATCAGTCTTACACAATTCACAGCGCTCACCATAGCACATACCCTCCCCAATGTCCATTACCCAGCCACCCCATCCCTCCCACCCCACCACTCCAGCAACACTCAGTTTGTTTCCTGAGATTAAGAATTCCTCATATCAGTGAGGTCATATGATACATGTCTTTCTCTGATTGACTTATTTCGCTTACCATAATCCCCTCTAGTTCCATCCACGTCGTTGCAAATGGCAAGATTTCCGGTTTTTTTGATGGCTGCATAATATTCCATTGTATAAAAAAATACCACATCTTCATTATCCATTCATCTCTTTCGTGTTATTTTTGCTATATTTAAGTACGTATATATTTTCAACCTCTCAAGACATAATTATTGTGTGCAATAATACATGTATTAACATATTTACTTTTCCTATAGCTTTTCATTCCTTCTTTTCATTCCTTCTTACATTTCCATGTTTCCACCTGGGATTTTCTTATGCCTAGACATACTTGTTACTGTTTTTTTTTAAATATGGATCTGCTGGTGACACAGTCCCTTGTTTTTATTTGTATAGAAACACCCATTTCATATTCACTTTTTAAGGATATTTTCTTTCTATTGAATTCTGTTTGGCAATTATGTTCTTTCAACACTTCCTGATGTTTCATTTTTTTCTGGCTTCCATTGATTTTGTTGAAAAGATGGCTGTCAGTCTTACTTTTTTCTTCTTTAAAAGTAATGTATTTGTTTTCCTCTCAAGTAACTGTCAAGAGTAAACTTAGGTTTTCAGTAGTTTTGTGTTTAGATGGATTTTCTTTGTATTTATCCTGCTTGGAATCTCTAGTGCTTCTCAAATTCATTTTTCAGCCTTTATATTTTTCAGATAGTATTTTTGTCCCATTTGTTTCCTTCTTCCATTCTAGAACTCATCACACATATGTTCAGTCTCTTCATCATGTCTTCTATGTTTCTTCTTAATTTTTTTCAGCAAGTTTTACCATAGATGTTTTCTGCTTATGTATTTTTCCAGTGCACTATTGCTCCCTTCTGCTATGTTCAATATACTATTAAATATATCTCTTCAGTTCTTAATTTCAATTATTCTTTTCTAGAATTTTCATTTGATTCATTGGTTCCAATCTTCTGTTGAAATTCTCATTCTTATTTGTTTTATTGAACAAACTAATCCCGGTTATCTTAAAATCCATGTTTGATAACTTTGGTATCTGATACCAGGTTCTGTGGGTCTTTGTGTATTACCTGGTTTTTCTCTTGACTTAATTTCCTAGTACTCCAGTAAATTTTGACTGAATCCCTGATACTGTATTTGAAGAAGTGAAGAGGCTCTGGGTGATGTTATATTCCTCCAGAGAAGATTTACCTTTTCTTCTGGCAGATAGTGAGTGTACAGGAACCACCTTAATCCAACCAGGGACGTGTTAGCTGGAGATTAGGTTGTGGTGTGTATAAAGCTTTGCTTATCTCTTGTTTGCCCTGCTACTAAGTTGTAGCCCTCCAGGAGTGCCTACTGAGAGCTTTACATGTTTACTGTGACCACTACCCCCTTCTTTGGAAGATCCTGATCTCAGTTTTTGGCACCATATTTTCTTAAGATTAGAAAAGTTTGAAATTCTGCTTAGCTTTTGTCTCTTGTCCTGAGAAGTTTTAGAATCCAGCAAATTCTATAAGGAAAAAACTGGTAAGTATTGGGATTACCTTTCTATATTTCCCTTCTCTCTCAAATATTAGAGTATCAGATTGGCCTCGAGTGACATCTGATGCCTTTAGACAGAATTTTTGTTTATCATTTAAGATTTTCTAGTTGTTTTCTGCAGGAATGTCTGCCACAGCCTACTTTACCAGGTCCAGAAGTGAAAGCCAGCCCTTAAGGTGTTAAGATTTGGCAATCCTGGCATTTAACTGACGATTTTTGTTTTGAGCAACATTATTGTGAGCTCACCAGGATTTTAGCTTTAAAATGCACCTGTTTAACTGTCTTTTCCAGATAAGTAAAGGGGTTAGTTTAGTTTGGTTTTGTTGATTATAGCTCCTTGTAGATTTTCTGGAGTGTGTAGGAAAAAAAAGTGATGAGGAGGCTTGTTCTTGATAGGATTTTCCAGGCATCTTTGCATCACTGCCACAGTAGTATCTAGCTCTTATCAATTCATTTCTTAGTACAAAGTCTTAAATAGACTTAACATCAAAGGCAGATATTCACAAATACATAGGAAAAACTAGTATGCAGTCCAGAACTCTGCTTGTTAATATGGACATACCTCATTCTGTTGTGCTGTGCAGATATGCATTTCTTACAAATTGAAGGTTTGTGGTTATCCTGCGTCAAGCAAATCTATTGGTGCCATTTTCCCCACAGTGTTGGCTCACTTCACGTCTCTGTGTTACATTTTGGTAATTCTTGCAATAAAATAGGAAAACCTCTGGAAAGGATTCACTATTCTAGATACCATTAAGAACAGTCATAATTTATGGTCACAGGTCAAAAAATCAATATTAATAGGAGTTTGGAAGTTGATTCCAACACTCATGGATGATTTGAAGGGGTGTAAGACTTCAGTGGAGGAAGTCACTGCAGATGTGGTAGAAAGAGCAAGAGAACTAGCATTAGAAGTGGAGCCTGAAGATGGGACTGAATTGCTGCAAGCTCATAAGACAACTTGAACAGATGAGGAGTTCCTTCTTACAGATGAGCAAAGAGAGTGGTTTCTTGGCATGGACTCTACTAATGAGGATGCTGTGAAGGTTGTTGACATGACAACACAATATTTAGAATATGACATAAAATTAGTTGATAAAACTGAGGCAGTGTGTTTGAGAGATTGACTCCAATTTTGAAAGAAGTTCTACTGTGGGTAAAATGCTATCAACAACACCTCATGCCACAGAGAAATCATTCCTGAAAGGGAAGAGTCCATCGATGCAGTAGACTTCATTGTTGTCTTATTTTAAGAAATTGCCATAGCCACCCCAGCCTTCAGCAACCGTCATTCAGCAGCCATCAACACTGAGGCAGGACCCTCCACTAGCAAAAAGATTTTGCTGAAAGCTCAAATGCTGGTTAGCATATTTTTAGCAATAAAGTACTTTATAATTGTGGTATATAGTGTTTTTCTAGACATAAAGCTGCGCTACTTAATAGACTACAGTGTAGTGTAAACATAACTTTTACATGCACTGGGAAACCAAAAAGTTCATTCGACCCCCTCTATTGCAAAATTCACTGTATTGCAGCAGTCTGGAGCTGAACCTGCAGTATCTCTGAGGTCTGCCTGTACCATGAAACCAAGTGAGACAATTGTTGAGTAAGTACAGAATTTGTCTGTGGGGAGAGAAGTGATTCTGTCAGATAATGCATGGGACCAGGGCTCGTATCCCAGTAGCAGAGTCCCATTTCTAGTGATTAGTATACTGCTTTCCCCAGTCAGGGCCTCACTCTCTAAGATGTACTGTGTATATCCAGGCAGATTTGCTGCTTTGTTTCTAATTTTCCATCCTTACATATACGTCCTCATGGTACATTTTCCTCATATAAATGTTACATTATTCGTATAGGTTTAAAGACTTTACTTCCTCATCAGTAGTAGGAGGTCCTAATTTTATTAGCAGATATGAATGTTTCACACAACCTTTATTTTTTTTTAAAGATTTTATTTATTTATTTGAGAGAGAGCGAATGAGAGGGAGAGAGAGCACATGAGAGGGGGGAGGGTCAGAGGGCGAAGCAGACTCCCTGCTGAGCAGGGAGCCCGATGTGGGACTCGATCCAGGGACTCTAGGATCATGACCTGAGCCGAAGGCAGTCATTTAACCAACTGAGCCACCCAGGCGCCCTCACACAACCTTTATAGTGGCCTTTTTATTAGCCATCTGAATGCTAAAATGAGTCTATAAAACATAAAAATGTTGCTTTTAGTAGTTACAGGAATTGAATTGCTTCTCTACCAAGTGTTGACCTCTAGTTTCCCTGGTTTCCTAAGGCCTAGGTTATCTAGGTTATTTTAAAGACCATACCCCTGGGGGACCTGGGTGGCTCAGTCGTTAAGTGTGTGCCTTCAGCTCAGGTCATGATCCCAGAGTCCTGGGATCAAGCCCCACATCGGGCTCCCTGCTCCGCAGGAAGTCTGCTTCTCCCTCTCCTGCTCCCCCTGCTTGTGTTCCCTCTCTCACTGTGTCTCTCTGTCAAATAAATAAATAAAAAATCTTTTAAAAAAAATAAAGACCATACCACTAAGATAGACAAGGTACTTTTTTTTTTTTTTAATCTATTAGCATAGTAGGGTCTGTGTAGGCTTTTTGAGGCTTAGAAAGTCAGGTAACTTCTCTGTAATCACAAAGAAAATGAGTATTGTACTCAGGATCCCAACCCAGGCCTGTGACTTCTGACTAAGTTCCCAAGCTGTCCTGCTTCAGACATCTTCCATTAAATCAACCCCTACCTGCCGCGTCCTTTGTTCACCTCTCTTCCCCTTTCCTGCCCTATCTTCCCTTCAAGACGCCTTCAAAACTGCAGCCTCTTTGTCAGCATTATAAACAGGCTTATCTTCTTACCCTAAGGAGATAAAACATATGATTATGTTTGATGTCTTTCAGACTGGATGACTATGCCCGTGAGTAAGAACTCTCCTCTCAAGTCGGGTATTACTGACGAAGACTTGGATCAGTGGATGATAAAGAACAGATTCGCTAGAGATAGTCACTGGAAATATGAAAGCCTGTTGGAATGGCAGCATGGAGGCCAGGGGGTACTTGCTCACCAGAAAACCCCCTCTCTGCTCAGCGCTCAGACCAGGGATGAACCTGGGAAGCACTGCACTGTGAGCTCATCTGTTGTTCAGAGTCAGGGATTTCAATCTAGCAAAAAAGCCTTCGAGTGTAGTGAGTGTGGAAAAGTCTTCACTAAGAGTTCAACCCTTAATAAACATCAGAAAGTTCATACTGAAAAACTGAATGCAAATCAGAAAACTGTTATTAAAGAGAAACGATATGAATGTAGAGAATGTGGGAAAGCCTTTCACCAGAGTACACACCTCATCCATCACCAAAGAATTCACACTGGTGAGAAACCGTACGAATGTAAGGAATGTGGCAAGGCCTTCTCCGTGAGCTCCTCACTCACTTACCATCAGAAAATTCACACCGGAGAGAAACCTTTCGAATGCAATCTATGTGGGAAAGCTTTTATCCGAAACATACACCTTGCCCACCATCATAGAATACACACTGGAGAGAAACCTTTTAAATGTAACATATGTGACAAAGCCTTTGTGTGCAGGGCACATCTTACCAAACACCAGAATATTCATAGTGGAGAGAAACCCTATAAATGTAATGAATGTGGGAAAGCCTTTAATCAGAGTACAAGTTTTCTTCAGCATCAAAGAATTCACACTGGAGAGAAGCCCTTTGAATGTAACGAATGTGGAAAGGCCTTCAGGGTGAACTCTTCCCTTACTGAGCATCAGAGGATTCATACTGGAGAGAAACCTTATAAGTGTAGTGAATGTGGGAAAGCTTTCAGGGATAATTCATCCTTTGCTCGACATCGGAAAATTCATACTGGAGAGAAACCTTACAGATGTGGTTTGTGTGAGAAAGCGTTCAGGGATCAATCAGCCCTAGCCCAACATCAGAGAATTCATACTGGGGAAAAACCTTATACATGTAATATGTGTGAGAAAGCCTTCAGTGACCATTCAGCCCTCACTCAGCATAAGAGAATCCACACCAGGGAAAAACCTTACAAATGTAAAATCTGCGGGAAAGCCTTTATTCGAAGCACACACCTTACTCAACATCAGAGGATTCACACAGGAGAGAAGCCCTATAAATGTAATAAATGTGGGAAAGCTTTCAACCAGACTGCAAACCTCATTCAGCATCAGAGACATCATATTGGAGAAAAGTGATAGGATTATAGTTTATATGGCAGAGCTTTGAGACTGACTATGTTAATTATTGAATGTAAGAGAATCCATTCCAGAGAATAGCCATGAAAGCCTACCCGAAGATGGAATTTTTATTTACGGAGAATCCAGCTTCATGGTATTGTGGGTTTGAGAATTTAAGAATGGCATGCCCTCCTAGTTCAGAACTGCCTCGATTGAATACCAGTAATGTTTAATTAGTCTGAATTATCAAATATCATAACCAAAATGAGGCTTCATTAACAACATAGAAATTAGATGATCAAATTTACATTTTTACTATTAAGAGAAATTATAAAATTGTAAAAGACCAGGTTGAGAAGCAAAGGAACAAAAAAGAAAATGGTCTATAAGCATTTCACTCACTTCTTTTATATAAGAGAGTTTCTACTTTCAATGGAACCCTTTGTTCTCACCCACCCACTTTCCCGGTGTAAGGAAAGTGTGGTCACCATGCATTGGCCCTGGAGTTACTTAAATTATGTTTCCCACCTTATGCTTCAAACCATCTTAGATTTCCCTGACTTAGGTGTCCACTGGCTGCTTACCCATATTCTCCTTCTGGGACAACTCATTTGAATGGTGTGTCCCTCTTGATTTACCACCTCCTAACTGGTGACATCATGTCACTTATCATCACCCCATTTGCCCTTGGGGAATGTGGTGATCTGGCCTCATATAAACAGTCCGTGATTCTGGGATATCGCACCCAGACCCAGCATTCAGAACTCGGGACCCCTGGGAGGCAGAGGTCAATCAAACTTCTTGAGTTCCCCAGTTCCCCTGGGCCTCACCTTGACTCTGACACTGGGATGGTACCTTAAAGTAGGGACTTAGTTTGTGTAGACATTACCTCCAATTGTTCCTTGCTGTACTTACCCCAGTCAGGGGACTGCTCGGCTTCAGATGTGACAATCCAACCCCCTAGCAGTGTTCTAGGCCCCCTCAGCTTCTGTGACTTGTCATTTCTTAACATGCAACTGACACGAGTTAGAGCCCCAAAGCCACTTCTCAAAGGCTCTGACCCCCTCTCTTGCCCTTGGCTGGCAGTCCTCTGTGTCCACTGCACTAGAGTATATATTCGTTAACCCCAGAATATTAACTGCTGCATCCTGGTCCCTGACCTTCTGTCCAGTTTTCTGAAGGTCTTGACTGTGTTCACAGGACAAACAGCTTGGAATTTATGCTTTGGCATTTGAAAGTGGGCATTTCCTCTCCTCCATCTGGGTATTCTACTATTTAGAGACTGTCCCATTCTGACAGTGGTGAGCTATCTGTAGATTAATTCCATGGGTGAAGAAGTCAAGAGTATCATGACATTCTCTGGCAGGGCATTATCCATGCCCAAAAGTTTTAGTGATACTCTATTCCTGCAGGTACAGTTCCTTCTCCATCTTTGGTTCCTCACTGCTCTCAGTAGAAATCACAGAGATAAAATAACATGTGTGCCTTCACACACACAGCCACTGGTAACGCTGTCCCCTTCCCCACCACAAAGGATCGGGAGCCCACACTACTGCAAACTGGAACACACCACATCATGAAGACGGAAGAGCAAGTCAACCGTTGTTCTGGGAGATGGAGTGGCAAGTTCTTAGTCCATGGAGGTGCAGAAGAGGATAGTCTGTATCTTGGTGGAATCAGTAGGCTCCAGGTTGAACACAGACTTGGAAGCTTCCAGCCGCTCTAAAGCCTAAGTTCTCTAAATTCAGCTTCCATTGAATAAAGGCCGCCAGTGTGGGCAGGCATCTCCTGTGGGGGGGCGGGGGATCAGCAGCTCATACTTTCTCCCCTACTAAGCTGTAGGTGAAGCAGCATTTCAAGGGGTGACTTGGAGCTCTTTGTACGCTGGGCCCACACGTGTTCATCTGCAGCCTCACAGGGCTGGCAGCCCCAGATTCCACAAGAAACCTGAAAACCCGCTTGCTGCTACAGATCCTTGCCTTCAGTACTAGCCATAGGGCCTGCCTGGTCCTAAACCTTGAATCCCTGTGGAACGCTGCTCAGCTGAGTTCATTGTTCATTTTGTTTGTGTTTAATGAGAGCTGATGCCACGGGTCCTGTGCCTGCAGTTGAGCCAGGGCCAAGACCAGCTGCCCTCTGAGAGCCTCCTCCATCCCAGGAACGGCTCCAGCTTCCGTTCCTGCACCACAGTCCATGCAGCCGGGAGGCCCTCAGTCTGGGTTTGCTCCCTGCCCTGTCAGCGCACCCATGACTATGCCATTGCAGGATAATGATTGAGCCAGTCTCCCCACCCCTTCGCTGGGACTAGAGAGAGAGAGGAGCCAGAGAAGCAGACCTAGACCCCACCTCCCACATCTGACACATCAGAGCTCCCCTGGCCTACTGTGGAATCGCCCAGTAGGCAAACCCAGTGGAAGGGCCAATTCCGCTCTGCCTGGAGGAAGGGTTTGAGAAGAGGATTAGCACCATAAACTTTCTTAAAAATCATCATGGTCTGTGGGCTCCCATGAATACCCCTGAAACTGCCAGCTCTTGGGGGAAAAATAATTGCTCCAGTTTCCTCTTCCACATTCCTCCAATGCTCTCTTGTCAGGTCGTCCCATCTCCAGGTGATAGATTGGGCGCCTGGGTTCTCCCCCGCCGACTGAGCTTGCCTCGCTCTACCAGCAGTGTCTGCCCAAGACGTTGCCTTCCTCCACATTCAGCAACAGCTTTTAGAATGGCACCTTGACCCTCAGCGGACTAGGGCTTCCCAGTGACAGTGATGGTGTCTGAGCCTCAGAGTCTTGGAACAAAACAGCCCTAAATTGCATTCATCTTTGGTTGAGAAAACAACTTAATTCCCTTGAACATGAATTTAGTCTAAGTGCATAGCCTCCAGCTGTCTGACTCCTCTTCCCTCTGCGCTTTGCCCTCCCCTCCGTTTAACTGGATTAGACAGCAAGGTGATGTGCACACAGAAAACACTCCCACCCTACTCTAGCCTGCAGTTGGGAGAGGTCCCAGCCTCTGGCCCCACCTCAACTCCTGCTAAATATATTTTTGGTAATATTTTTACTTTTAGTAATTTTATACCAGTTTGTGAAGGGAAAAAGAAAATACAAGGTTTGATTGTTTCCCATCACTCATGAACTTCTTAGTTGTGCTAATGACCATTCTCTGCCAGTGCCAGGATTTGGTTGCTTGGGCATGTTCTTCATCCTGTGTATTACCCTGTCTGCCACTCATCACTGTTCTTAAAAATTGTTGCCATAGAATGATCCATCAGTGTGTCTTTCTGAAAATAAATGAGAAAAGTACACAGTGTTCTAAGAGGTACAAACTGCATTTGTGTTACCTGGTTATCTCTTAAGACATGGCCAAAAGTAGTGCTTCTGAGTGTTTTTATCTTTATATGGCCAGTCTGGTCCTAGCTGCCCACAATGAGCACCCAAACCTACCTGGCCCCGGAAACCATAGTTCAGGCTGTGCAATAGAAAGAGTTGTATCCCCAGTTGCTGGGCACAGCAGCTACTATTTGAGGACATCCTTCAGACCAGGTACTGTTGTAAGCACTCTGCACATAATAACTCATTTAATCCTCACAATTATGTGAGACTGTCCCATCCCCACTTGAAAGTTGAACAGAGAGGTTTACAAGTATTTTGGAAGTTGCACAGCTGGTAACATGCGTGATTTGAGGATGTGACCCAGTCATTGTAGCTCTAGGGCACACATGCCTCCCTGCTGCACTCACCCCCCTCCTTCATGGACACATTCTAGGTCACCCTGGAAGGGCCGCTTGGCTCCAGACGTTGTAGTGGGGCTGATATGGCTATTGATGGGTGGAGGGCTATTGTAGCAAGTCCCCAGCCTTGCAACTATCTTCCAAGCATGGTTCTCCATACCCACTTCCTTCACAAAAAGACCTTTCCTCAGCCCTGGGTTGGCAAGGTGGAAAGGGTTCAGGTGCTCCTCTAGCCTAAGTACAAGAACCATGGGTTCACGACTATCAGCCCTGGGATATCTCATGGGCATGGCCTGATAACCCTGGTGGGTCTGGGACACAGGCCAAATGAGAGCAATTACTAGGAGTGCCCTTCTGGAGGTATTCCAAAAGCAGAAAGTCAAAGCTAGTAGCTAGAGAAACAGCAATAAACATTAATAACCATTAATAGTTTCTGCCAAGCATAGTACATACACAGATGGTATGCATGCATCTAGGTACTGCTTTCATGGAACTTAAATACGGAAGACAGGTATTGCAAAATGAAACACAAATAATTAGCAAAATAATTGTAGTTTGTGGGATGCGTGTTTACACAGATGGGGTACCATGAAAGAGTGAGAGACCCAGCTGTAGATTGTGTGGTTGCATCGGACTTCTCTAGAATTAACAACAGACACAAAGCTGTTGAGTTCAGTGAGACAGGGAAAGAGGTTTGGACACACAAGGCAGGAACTATCAGGGGCTAGTTATGTGCCATTAAAAAGGTGTGGGTGGAGCCCAGAGTGAGGACTTGTGGTAGCAAGATGAGGTTCCACAGGAAGAGGCAGGACCACAGCCCAATCAGCCACTGCAGTGAGCTTGGCACAAGTGATTGCCAGGTGTCAGGTTTTGTACTTTAAACTTCTAAGCTTCAAGTCGTTGCTATTGATGAATAAATTTTACCAGAGCATAAATATTGGGAAGTTTTCCAATTAGTTTGTTCTTTCCCAATTAATTTTCCTTGCAGTGAATAAGAAATTCCAAAATTGGAAGAACTTAAATACGGGAACTTAAAAACCACGTAAGGTTCAATTGCTAATTTATTTCAGCAATATACTTCAACCAAGGTACAGCATTGCTCACTGTTACGTAATGCTATCATTTCTAGTCATTGTGATGGGGGGAAAATGGGGTTATAAATATTTACAGGTGAGGATACACCAGATTTGCCTTGGTGCATTGCCTCAGGCTCCTCACCAATCTTTCTGGTTCCCTCTGGGCCACCTCCCACTCCAGCCACCAGTGACTTTGTCCACCCCACAGATCCAGTCATGGCACTCACCTGTGTAAACCCTTCCA